TAATTCAAATAGTTCCCTCCAAGTAACTTCACATTACCCTTTCCTAAACTGCACTTTCTAGAATAACTTTTAAAACAAACATATACTCAAGTACACTAGAAAACACTGGATTACACTTAATTATTCTTAAATTAACAATAGTCTTGCACCAGGCAAGATTTCTTCCTGTACTTAAAATTCTATTTCAACAAAACTAGGGACATAGCCAATGGATAATTATTTGAAAGAAGGCTCATTGCCAAGGCTTAAGTCATTGCTCTGTTTTAGAAACATGTTTTGCTTCTGTTGTAATAGTATTTCCACAGAGGGGCTTTAGAGTTTATGATTAACTCCTCCACAGAATTTGGACTATCCGTGAAACTTCCATGTGTATTCAAATAAAAAGAAAACATGATGATCATCTTGGAATAGCAGAAAGAAGTTTCTTAGTAAGGTGATATGTTTTCCTATGCAAGTTACTTTGTGGACCATGAAGCACCAGGCAAGTTTAACACATACTCTGTGTTTCTAAAGAGCTCCATTTCCAATAAACACATTTATCATACTCATGGGTATAATACAAAGAAGGGAAGTCAAAGCAAGTTTGTGACTCTGAGGTTGTGCCTTGTTTTGGCCAGCAGAGGCCCTTCCGCCCTCAAATTCATAATGTTTTCTGCTCGGAGCAACCTCACCCTCTCTTCAGCAGGGTCAAATCCAGATTTTGAGAGACCTCAACTTGATGTGATTTGGGGAGACTCCTTTTAAAAAAGAATTAGTACTTATTGTGCACAATGAATATATTCATCATGTGGTGTTGTTTCAGATACATATCACATCTTAATCCTTTCTACTTCTCCTTACCCTCCACTCCCTCCCTTCTCTATCCCTAGATCCCCTTCCCATATACAAAAGGTCTACCTCCCTGTTTCCTTTTGTCTATCTTTTATTTTGCTCCTTAAATTATACTTTGGGTTTTTCATATGTGAGAAATCATGTGATATTTAACCTTCTGTTTGTGACATTTCATTCAGCATTATGGCCTAAGGATGCATCCATGTTCCTACAAATTACACAAATTTACCTTTCTTATGCATTGCACAATATACTACATTTTCTTTATCCATTTGTTATAGCTTGTATCTAGATGTCCCCCCCAAAGCCTCATGTGGTCATAGGTGGGGCTTTTTGGAGGTGACTGACTTTAGGTAGTGTGATGCGGGGATCAGGAACATGACACTAGGATTAATTCATGGTGTGATGCTAGAATTAAGGTTGTCCCATCTTGGGTGTGAGTTCTACCTTCCCAGATAGCAAACAGGGCTGCTATGGTTATCACTTGTCACTTGCTGCTTGCTGCTTTTGCTACCTTCTGCCCACCATGAACTGTTTCTCCTCTGCAATGCCTTTCTGCCATGCTACCCTGCATTGGAGCCAGCCAATTATGGACTAACACCTCTACAAACTGAACTAAATAAACGTTTCCTCCCTTAACTTTGGTGTTGGGTATCTTGTCTCAGCAAAGAGAGAAAATACACCTTATTATTAGCTGCCCCACCAAAAGAAAAAAAAAACAAAACACGTACTGTACTCTTCTTCCCTAGGTGAATAATATGAATGATAATTTCTGGCAGCAATTCCCACCCCATTTTTGGCTCCATGCCTGGACTTCTGGCTTATCAATTGGTCCTGGTCCTCAGACCAGCTTAGTTCCAAGTGGCAACAGGCTTATCAGGAATCTGGGCAACAAATTTATTCAGAAATATACAAGGTATTTACTTCTCTTCCTTCACACGCTGCCCTTCTTTGTTCTAATTCCTGGTACTGAGAATTCTCAAACCACTGGTCCTGGCCACACTTTGTGTAGGCAGCAAAATGTTCCTGAGTAACAGTCTGTCTGCCAAGATCAGCACAGGATACTCTGTGCATCATACTCATCTTCCTCTCACTTCTATGCAATCTATCTGTTGTCAGGACAACATGGCACACCTAGCATTCCCTGTTCACTTGGTGTCTGTTCTTCTCTGGAGTTCTTGCCACTGGACATCAGCAAACACCATTTCACCATAGTAGATTCAGGGGTGAAGTGATTTCAGCTCTGAAAAGTATACTTTCCTTGTGTTCTTAACCTGAAAGTTTCTTTGGTACTAATATTCTCCATCACTCATCCTTTGACCACAAATCAATCTCAGTAAATTCATGCTATGATTCCTCCACATTAATGTCACTTCCTCTTAAACAAAAAATGTAAATCTGGTTCTGCCCAGTAGCATCAATCCAGCAGGTGTGGGTACCTGTCTGAAGGGTAAAGTCATGAAAGTCAATTGTCTCCTAATCATGGGATGACTAACTCATCTGTCTGAGGGACTTTGTCTTTTTAACCCTCACTAGAATATCTGATCTTAAACTGTCTGAATTCTGAACATGTAAAATGTAATAGCCTGCAATTTTGTAGGCAGTGAAATACTGGTGGCTACTTATAAGTGGAATTTTCATCAAAAATAAGTAACTTTTTGTAGTATTTTCCAAGGAACAGTCAGCTTAGTGGAATGTTTTTCACCCATTAAACCTTGCAGAAATGATTGCTTTAAAAAAAAGATTCTTTGTGCCCTTGTTATGGCCTCCAAAGTTTCCCCATCCTGCCCCATCATGTGCACAGACAAGGACTGACCTGATTTTTATCATGTACGTGTGTTGTCATTTTCTAAAAGTGTATACAAGGACAGGATACTGTGTGACTTCTATGACTTCTTTCACCAAGCATGATTATTTTTTAGATCAATCCATAATCTGCTACCGTGGTGTGCTGTGTAGAATCCCACTGCCAGGGTCACTACAGTTTGTTTATTCCTTCAGCTATTCCTTTACATGTGCATTTCAGTTTTCAGTTATTGAAAACAAAGCTTGGTGTTGATACTGGGAGAAGGAGATGCAGCTTGTAATGGTTTGTGTCTAGATGCCCCCTGAACTTCTCATGCAGTCATATGTAGAGACTTTTCAGAAGTAGCTGAATCTAGAGTTTATGCTTCTGGGATCAAGGATGTGATGCTAGGATTGATTCACTGTGCAATGCTAGCATTAAGAGCGCAAGTGTGGGTAGCCTGGGTTAGATATAAGGAACAGAAAGAGCTGTGGTCTTATCTCTTGTTGCTTGCTGCTTTTGCTGTCTCCTACCTGCCAAGAACTGTTTCTGTTCCGTGATGCCCCTCTGCCACATACCACTCTGCCTCAGAGCCAGCTGATAATAGAGCGAAACCTCTACAAACTGTGAGATAAATAAACCTTTCCCTATATTTGGGTGTTGGATATTTCATCTCAGCAATGAGAGAAAAAGTAATAAAATATCTAAAGTGCATTTTATAAATCACTGCATCTAGAATAAAACTAGGATTTATATATTGATATAAAACCTGTGCATTATGCAGCCTACTAATCTCATATTTATGGTGCTCTATCCCAAAAGTGGTTTGGCACAAAGCTCATGTAGTGTGAGGTATGTATGTGGGGGAAGAAACCCTAAAATATCACTGAAGGTTAACGGGGAAAGACAAAAAGTGAAGCACCCCACTTACCAGCCCGTCGCCGTGAAGGAATCAGGATGGCAAACCTAATGTACCCTCCCCTTCCGAGGTAGAGTGTTGAGAGGGTAGGGGCTCAGACATACCCAGGCATATTAAATACTTGAATAACAAATGGATCAGGGAGAATGTGCTGCCCTGACCCCCTGCAATGGCATTTTGGGAGGGAATCTGTGGTAGTTGTCTGGGGTGTGCATGGGAAGGGCTTTGACAGTCCACTCTGTGTGTCGGGGAACCTGGGCCCCCCCACCCGCTAGATGGCTGTGTGCTTCACCAAAGCAGGCAACAAGGGAGTCCTAAGGCACAGGTGCTGAGCTGTCAGGTGGGCACCAAAGTGGGCATTAGGGCTCCCCTAAGGCCTCACAGAGATCTGAGTAGAGCACAGACTCACCAGCCTCTGGAGAGTCACAGGCTGACATGGAGCTGCAGGGTGGGCTCTGCACAGTGGGCTGAGAGGGGTCCCGCTCCTCACAACCCTGTGCCCATAATACCCACAGCTGGGGACCCAGGCCCACAGAGCAGCTGGTCACTGAGGGGTCTTCGTGGCCTCTTTTTCTGATGAGCCATGTAAGTCCCCAAAGCCCAGGCCAGCTGGGACAGAGCGATTGGGACCAAGTCTCACTTTCCCTCGTCTGTGCTTCCTAAGCCCCTGGCCTCCCTGGGGTTGCCTGAGAGTGGAACAAGATCCAGCTGTGTGGTGCTGAGGAGGAGCTGGGTGCCCCTCAGAGTCTGCAGGACAGCACCTAGTGCTTGCTGGCCTGATGGGAAGCCAGGCTGGCTCCTCCTGGGAACTGATCGCGTGAACCGCACACTCAGCAGGCGGAATTGATCCTCACCCTGTGGTGCCCCAGAACCTTGGACCAGCTCAGGCCTTCTGCAGAGCCCTAGGGTGGCTCCCTCCACCTGGGGTGCCCAGCCCCTCCTCCTCTTCATTCTGAGACCTGCAACGTCCCCACCTCTGTTCCTCTTTTCTGCTGGGGGACTGGAGTCATGCCACCTAAGGGAGATAGGCAGGCAGCTGAGGTCGATGTGTGCTCAGGCAGCTTCTTCATATATGCAGCTGTCTGTCCCCAGTTCCTGGGCTGACGTCCCCTGAAGTTCAGACCCAGGTTAAAATGCTGCATTGTCCTTCACTGCCAGTGCATTTTGAACTCACATTTCCTAGGAAATTCTTGCTCAAATTGCAGGATTCAGAAGGGCAGTGAAAGCTTTGTGTCTACATGTTCCCAGTGTGTAAATGAGATGATGGAAGAGCTGTGGCCGGACACACTCCCCACACAACAGAGAGGACACAGAGGCCTGAATGATCTCTAAGATGGAAACAGGAAGGAGGAGCACCTGGGGGAAAAGTCACTGTTCCTGATGGAATAACAGTGGCTCTGTCCTTTCTTTCATCCTTTATTTATATTGCATTGAATATTTTACTGCTGTAAATATTTCTTCCTGGACAAAAATAACTGGTGATTTACTGAATAGGTGAATGAAAATTGGACAGGATCTATCTAGGATTTTCCCTTCTACAGAAAGCAAGATTCATCTGTCCCTTCCAGGATTCTGTGCCCAAAGGGAACTCTGAATGCAATACTATGAAAAATGTAGGATAGGTAAATTATGGGGACAGAAGATGAGTGGTGGCCAGGGACTATCAGCTGGGAAGAGAAGAGGCACCACTCACCGGAACAGCACTGAGGAAAATGCTCTGGCAGTGGTGACTGGTGTAGAGCAGAGAGAATGCACTTCATGCCACCCAGCTAATCATTTTAAACAAGACTAAAATCTCTGCTTTCATTTAAAAATAATTCTGTTGTTTATATAAATCCAGAGAATAAGAGCAAAAATATATGCCAAAACACGACCAAGAGTAATGGATGGGAACAGCTCAGGAGCTGACTCCTGCCCTGCAACCACCAGGAGCCCATGCGGTGCCACTGGGGGAGGAGGAGTTCCTGGCACTGGCTCTGGCTGTGGTGCCAGAGCTGATGAGGGCGCTGCAGGTGGAGCTGGCACACACTCTACAGGTGGGACTTCAGTTTGGGCTGGAGCTGGCCCTGCAGCTGCAAGAGAGGAGAAGATCACCAAGTGCCCATGTTCCTTCCTGGGGCAAAACCTTCCCACTGCCTGTCAGAGGGCTCTGTGCATGAAGTCACCCCAGAAGTCCTCCCAGACTGCAGCCCCTGACTGACTGCTGAGGGTCTCCGTGTTTCTGGTTCACCCCAGCACCTGGAAGCTCTCTCTGTGCCCAAAGGCCCACCCCTCCCCACATGCCCACAGGCCCATACGCCAGGCCTCCTCACCCTTGGGTTCTGCCTCAGTGGGCTCAGCTTGCTCTTGCTGGGTCAGTAGTTCAGCCGGGAGATCCACCCTGGAGTGCAGCTCCAGCGAGGAGTCAAGGACAGAAGAGGTGGACCTGGGGAAGGCAGGTAGGCAGCAGCGTAAGAGCCCTGGCCTTTCCTCCCACACTACTGCCCGGAGCACCCGCAGGGATGGACATATGTGTTCCTCAGTTCTCTGTGCCCTGTGGGCTCCTCTTGCCCTCTTGGGAATCCGTACCTAGGGAGGGCACGAGGGGCCTCCTCTACTGCCTTGTGAGGAACACCTGCTCTGTGTTCTGGGGGTGACTTGTAGACCCCAACTGCACTGAAAGCCCAGAGGGAAGGGGTTTTAACTGCTCCGGTGATGGGACTGTAGTCAGTGCCCCAGTGTCCCCAGTGATGTAGTCACCTGCTCCTTCATGAGGTCTGCGTGGACCTGGGCCCTTGCCTCCCCCAAGGATTCCTGCTCTGGGACCACCCTGAAGTCCGTCCAGTGACTGCAACCTCCTTTACGGTGAGCACAGCAACTTTCCCCAAGTGCAGGGGTAAGGGCAGGGGAGGCAAAGCTCCCCCATGGGGATGGAAAATCATCTGTAAGAATCAGCCGGTCTTCCACAGGACCAAGGCCAGGGTGGACACTTAGGATGGGCCCCCCATTTCATCCTACAGTTGTGACAGGATTTTCTTCACACCTCCCTGTTCAGTGTTGCAAACTGAGGCTGAGGCAGGTGCTTTCATGTTCCCAAGTTTGGAGTCCTAGTGACCAAGGCCCACCGTGCTGCTGAGAGCAGAACTCAACTTCCCAGCATCCCCTCCTGCAGATAGGAAATGCAAGCCCCAGAGGGGTCCAGGAAGGAGGCGTCACAGATGGAAGGGAGCTGTCCAGGAAGGCCTCCATCAGGAGCGCGGCATGCCTGCCCGTGCGGTCCTCACCATGCAGACCTCCACCAGGCTCTGGGCCTCCAGATTTCCAATCTGTGACGGGACAGTGGAGAGACATGGAATTGGGGTCCCACCCATGGCTCATGAGGAGGGCTGAGGATGAGGGCCAGACCGAACTCGACATTGGGTGTAGTGGCTGATACCAGAAGAGGCACAAGAAGGCCCCAGCAGAAAGTGATCCTCAGGGTACAAGTTCAATATTACAAGGGACACAGAAGTGCTAACATTTTCAGGCCAGCTCCTTAGCTGAAGAAAGGTTGATGTAGCTCCATGTTTGAAAAGCAACAACCAGGGAAGAGATGAGTAAACAGAGGCTCCTCCTGGGACCCCAGGTCCACTTAGGAGGTCACACAGAATGTACCCCGGGTTCCTGTTGCAGTGACCCAGGAAGAAGTCAGGTCCAGCTTTCTTCTCCAAGGGAGACTGAATGGCCGTGCTCACTGCCACCCTTGTAGAAGGTCCTTTAGCCCAGGGGTCCTGGACATCTAGCAGCTGCCACATGGGCACCTGGGCCAGGACCTACGAGGAGGTGAAATGGCAGAATGAAATTATGAGAGGATAGAAGTGACACGGTGTTCCTGTTCCTCTTCCGATGTTCCCGCCAACATGTGGACGGTGACCTTGCCCCTGGCCAAGTGGGGGCTGAGCAGAGAGGATGTGTTGTTTGAGGACAAGGGGCCCAGGTTCATTTGGCACCAGGACCTTGGTCCACTGTTTACCGGGCCCTGCAGGGAGATGAAGTGGTTACCTGTCCCGAGGGCCCCTCTGTCCTCCCGTGGCCTCAGGACAGAGTCCCCTCTGCTCACACACATACTCCACACCCCAGCTGGCACCCGTCGTTATTGTGGCCCCAGTGTGTGTCACAGCACAGGGCACACAGGCCCCAGGGACATCTCCAGGCCGTCGTCCTGGACGCGGCTCTGTGGGGACAGTGCCGAGCAGGCGGCACGAAGCACGAGTCTCTGCCTGACCCGTTTGTGCTGTTTGTGCCTTGTGCTCCAGAAACAGAAACATCTCTGTCTCAGGCGTCTCCCTCAGGAGGACAGGAGATGACCTTGGAGGCTGGGGGTCATCGGGGGGCACCGCCCTTCTCCCCTGCCAGCCCTGCCATGGGTGAGATGTGACAGGACCCAGGGCTCACAGCCTCCCAGCAGCACCTGCTCCTGCCCAGGAGGAGCCTCTGCCTCATACCTGGTCCCCCACCACCTGGACACACACACGCTGAGGAAGCAGGGTGAGCGCTGTGCAGGGGACTCACAGTGACGGCCAGGCCTAAGTGTTCCTGTCCTGGACTCAGTGGCTCTACGCGTCTGATGGCCAGGCCCGGGGACACCTCGCCTGGGCTCGCTCTCATCTCAAGGTCATCGGTCGCCGGGTCTGGTGAGGCCTGCCCTGTGCTGTCCACGAGGGCAGGGCGGTTCCTGCCCAGTGGCCTGTTGCGCCTGGACTTAGTCATCCATCCTCTCACTCGTTCCCAAGTGCTTTCCCTGCGAGGGGTCCTGAGGCTGCGGCCTCGAGGCCTGGGCAGGCAGCACAGCGTGTTCACTGCTCGCTGTCTCCAGCCAAGTGACTGTGAGCCAGCCGTCCTGAGACTGTGGTGTCCGGTAACTCGAGGGTTCCGAGTTCTGTTTGGACCTGTCGCCAAGGAAGTGAGGTCATGTGCAGGGGTCCATAGCAGACCCTGCCCCTCTGATAAGAAGACGCTATGACCCCTTTCTTTTCATAGTGGAGCACACCTATATCCTCCTTAGAAACAGCCATGAAAACCTAGAATAGCTGAGTGTGATTTTAGAATAATAAAAGGGCCGGGGATGTTACTCAACCTGAAGGCCCAGGTTCATCCCAATACCAAGGGGGAAAAAATATGGTAGTTCTGGTAGTTCATACTTTTAACATGAAGCCAAGTAACATTTCTATCTGTATTTTTATCCAGCTAAATTTATTTTCCTGTGTGTAGTTTTAGATACAAGATCTCATTTAACCAAGCTTAGGGATTGCCGAGTGAGAACAATAAAGTGCAAAAGAGATGAAGAAGTTTAACATATGTGCAAAGGAGTAACTATCATGATGAACTGAGGATTCATAACTGGATAAATGGCCATGGTTACATAGGTACATTGAACCAAACTGAGTGCATAGAAACAGGCATGCTCACAGTTCATTGCTGATGGTCTCCAGCCAGGTGACTCATGAGACTGGGGTGCCTGGTGACTCTAGGGTTCCGAGTTGTGTTTGGACCTGTCGCCAAGGAAGTAAGGTCGCATGCTGAGGTCCATAAGCTGAGCCTCCCCCTTTGATAAGAAGACCCAATGTCCCCCTTTCCTTTTACAATGGAATAAATCTGTGGGCTGCACCCTTTCTGTGATGCTAGAGTTTGATACACTTTGTTTAATGTACAAATATATAAATGCTTAAAATGGGTCAAGCACAGTGGGAAGTGTGCTTTTCCATCTAAAGCATCCATCCTCTCTCAAGACACAGTGCTCAGTGTTAGCACGTAAGAAATCTGTTGGGTTTTAGGAAGATTTTTTTTTCTTGGATTAACTTCAGTTTGAATTCAATTCTAGTAGGGGCTATGGAGATGTTCCAAAAATGTCAATCATTATTTTCCTTAAATGTGGAGTTCCTTGCAACACCCAGTGTCTTCTTGAGTTGACTTGAGAGGCAGAAGACTACTAACTCTGAGGAGCTAAAACATCTTGAAGAAGAGATGTTTTGTCAGCTCAGACAGAGATAGACCTTAGGGAAAACAAGAAAGCTCTCTAGGGAACAATCCGATGAAAGTTCATTATTCAGCCATCCTGTCATCATGCCTGGCTCACCTGCCTTTCTAGCTAAAACAAACATCTGCGCTCAGCAGAACTCTATGCCTTTATTATTCTTCAATAAATCTGGGGGTTTGAACCAGTTCAGGGCTTCACTCCATTCCAGTGAAGTCCTCTGGCCCCCCAAAAAGATATTCTGCATCTCTCTTGTCTTCTTCCATCTCTCCAACAGGATTTACTGGCCCAAACTCTGCACTTAAAGTTTTGAGACAGAAAAGTTTCAAATTATAACCCTTGGATACATAGCAAGTTTTAACTTTCAGGTGCACACAAGGATAACTATTCATGCTCAGGTACTGAACTCAATCACAGATTGCAGTCTTCTGCACTGTGACATAGTGTGAGGGGACAGCAGGTGGTGACTGCAAGGCACAGTCTTTATGCTGCTGTGGAGATCATCACCTCCATGGTGATGAAAAACACATTCATACATCACCCGGGAACTTTTCTTGTGGCCACTGCTATCCCCTCCTGGCCTCCCATCACAAGCAGATCATGTGATTTGTGTACCTGGTAGAGAGTCTGCCTTTTCTAGAGGGGATGGAGCTGTAACTATTCAGTATAAATCTTTCTGTTCAGTCTTCTTCAAGCAGTAAATGCAGGCTGGGTTTCTTGCTGGGGTGAAGACATCGCAATCCATTGTGTGGGCAGGGCAGGAATTGTTCCTGCATCCATCAGCAATCATCCCTTTGTTCTGTTTCCAGTGTTGACCTTAAAAATGAAGCTGCTGTGACCATTCTTATACATGTGTGTATGATACAGACTTTCATTTCTTGGGGGAAATACTTAAATATGAAATTGTTCATCAATTGCTGGTATATATTTAACTTTAAAATGTTTAAAATGTATTTTGAACACAAGCACAAGAACCCAAGTTTGATCCCCAGAACCCCCCAAAAAAAGTTTTGAAGCAGTTGTTTTAAGCAGAGTGTGATGAGTTGTTGTTGTTTTGTTTCATATTTGCTTGTTTGCTTTTGGTGAGGATTGTGAAATGGTGTCCTTGAATTTTCAGTGTTTTCTGGTTTGATTTTTAATAATCAGCCTGAGGTCAAGCTGTTTATGTTACATAAATTCAATATTTTTTGTTGTGGAGGAAATTTCTAAATTAAAATATAATAATCACCTATAATTTCACCAACCCAAAGCTTTTCCAGTTTCTCTTGCCCATGTGCCTTAGACAACACCTTGCATAAGATTCACTGCCCTGTAGACATTGGTGTATTGTCAGGTATTTGCATTGTTTCAAATTTTTATTTTTCATCTTTTAAATGAGATAGCTTCAAATGTGCTATTAAATATATCTTCTCAGGATCTGGATATCTTAGTATAAAGAGAATCTAAACATTCTTTTTTTCCCCTAGGTTTTTATTGTATTACTACAATTTGAACCAGGGACTTCTCATTGAGATATATTCCCACAAGATTTTAAATTTTTAAATTTTGACCCAGAGTCTAAGTAATTCTCTATTTAGGCCAGGTTGGGCTTGTATTTGTGATCCTTCTTCTTCAGCCTCCCAGAGCACTAGGATTACAGACATATAATAACCATATTTGATAATTGGCAATAATTATTGTATTTATAGGGTACAATGTGTTGTTTCAATCGGTGGATCCATTATAGAATGATTCAATTTAGTGAATAATATCCACTGACTTACTAACCTACAAGTCTTTTTCTACAGAGGAGAGGATTAAAATCTCATTGTTTAGCAATTTTGAAATATATGCTGCCCATAAACTGAGGTCACTATGCAGGAAAAAAAAGATAAGAAATACAAAAGACCTTACAAAAACCTCCAAAACAAGCCTTGTATTTCTGTTGATTAACCTGATACTGTGATATTTTTTATTGTACGTGACACTGTTGGATCAAATCTTACCTAAGGCTAACTACCTCTGGATTTTTTGTTACATAAGCCAATGCTGTTCTTTATTGTTGATGCTCCTTTGAGTTATTTGTAGCATAGAACCCCAACTCATATAAAGACATGGTAAGGCCAAGCATGGTGGAACATGCCTGTAATCCCAGCACTTATGAGGCTGAGGCAGGAGGATCGCTGTGAGTTTGAGACCAGCCTGGGCTACATAGTGAGTTCCAGGTCAGTCTCAACTACATAGTGAGACCCTGTCTCAAAAAAACAAAAACAAAAAATAAATAAATAGAGATATGGTAAATCCACTAAAGCTGTAATAGTAGATGGATATAAGGTTATGAAGAAAAGCACTTCAATATTTATGACACTTTACAAAATACAGAATATTTGTTCAATACATGGCAATTCACTCTAACAGTAAAAAGAATTAGTAGTCACTTAATTTTTAGCATTATGTGATAAATTTAATTGAGCAACATGTCAAGAAAATTTGTAAGGCCAGAACAATAATATAAAAACATTATTATTTATTGAGTACTTAATAATTAACCCTTAATGGGACTGGTTATAATGAGTTATGCCTGGAATCAATTATCACCAAGTATTGCTTTGATTGTGGTAGAATAAAGAAATAATCAATTATGTAAAGTTAGGAAAAGTGGGAAAAAATTGAAATAATGAAAAACTGTATTTTCTAAAACTCCATTAGGCATTTAAAAGAAGCAAATGACTCTCACAACGTGTAACAATCATTAGGTAATGTAGCTTTTTTTTTTTTTTTTTTGGTACTGGGGATCGAACTTGGGTTAGGTAACGTAGCTTTGAAACGTAAATGTGTCAGCTCTTAGAAAATTCTGTATCACTCTCTGCAGCATGGGGAAACAAATAGTCCCTTTCAAAGTACGCATATTCAGTGTGGTACTACTTGGGATGATGAAAGAAAGGACCTAATAATCACAGGATATGATTTACAATAAAATCCTTCTGGGAGACATTCTCTTATTAATGCCCACTGAGGAGCAGAGACAGCCAAGCATACTAAGTTTTAGTATGTCTTTTATAATTGTGTTTTATTTTCTGCTGATCTTCTTGGATTTATGTGGAACCATTAAAGAGGAAAGGGACACAATGACCTGAAAGGTTTACAACAACAGTTAATATATGGGGTGGATTTTCTCTACAGCAATTTGAAAACCAGCTTCACCAGTTATCACTTACAATGAAAAAGAAGTCTGTGGTAGAATCACTACTCTGTGGCTGTAGCCTCAGACAGCATCTCATGCACAGTGCACTTTCCACGTTAAGGGACTTGGTCACTTGGTGGCAGCATGCAGCAGTTAGCTCTGCATAACTTAAGTAAAAAGGAGAGTTGGGCCTAATGAGGAATGTGTGTGTCTGTTCCAAGTTGTAATATTACATCCTATGACTTGGCCACCAATCAATTAAGGCTTCTTTTGCTGTATTCAGATAGAAATCACAAATCAGCAAAGTGCAGCTCTGCTAATGGCCCTCATCCCACTGGTCCACACCACTTAATGCCAGTTGCCTTGGTAGACACTACCAGTCACTGTTCTCTACCACCACTGGCCACTGATATTTGATGCTAGACTCGTACCTGGTGCCATTGATCAAATACTAGTTACTGTTCTTTGTTACTGATCTCCAGCTGCTTCTGGATCTCTTTAGGACTAACAGTTCCTATTGTTTATAACTCATTCTTTTAAAACAACCACTCTGAAAAAGAAAGAGGGAGAGAGAGAGAGAGAGTGAGCAAGCAAGCAACCACTCTGTCCACAGTACTCAAGAATTCTGAGATTTACAGAACTTTCCAAACCCATACTAAGGGAGAAGTAAATCACCAGCAGGTTTACAGGACTACCTAAGCTAGGTTTTATCTGAACAGAATCTGCGCTGCAACATAGGGGTATCAAGTGGCATAAAAGAGCCCTCCTAAACTAACCAGAGAAAGTGTAAGGGAAATATTGTTTATACAGCAGCTGCAGGCCTGTGATTGGTTCAAATATAGGCCTGCTGATTGTTCCAAATTTAGGTCTGTGATTGTTCCAAATTGGTCTAAACTCAAACCTTCCAATCAGAGCCTACTGATTGGTCTCATATCAATTCTACTGCTTGGTTCAAATTCAAACAGGGCAGCCATGTTGGGGAACATGGGCTTCCGGGACAGCCTTGGCTGTCATAGCAAGAGCTGGGTGAAATATTGGGAAGCAGCTGATTGTAACAGCCATTACTTTTCTGCAAAAAAAAAAAAAAAAAAAAAAAAATGCAGTGCCGCAATTGGGGGATCTTCAGAAGGACTCTTTGCATCAACCATGTCTTACTGGGGTGTCTTAGTCACTTCCTCCATAGCTGGGTCAAAGTACCCAACACTCAGGAGTTAGTGCAGGAAAGGTTTATTTTGGCTGACACGTTGTAGAGGTTTCAGTCCCTAGCCAGCTGGCTGAAAGGCAGGGAGAGGCATTGCAGAGGAGGGTTGCTCATGGAATAGCAGCAGGAAAACAGAGAGAGAGAGAGAGAGAGAGAGAGAGAGAGAGAGTGTGTGTGTGTGTGTGTGTGTGTGTGAAGAGAGAGAGAGAGAGTGTGTGTGTGTGTGTGTGTGTGTGTGAAGGGAGGAGTTGGGAAGAGATAAAACTCTCCAGGCTACACCCCCAGTGACCCATTTCTTCTGATTAGGACGCCACCTGCTCAACAGCAAGCCAGCTATAAGCTCCTGAGTGAACTCTAACCCTTGATGATTATCACGCCTCCATGGTCAAATCACCTCTCAAAAGCCTCATTCCCCTCTAAGTGCATGAGGCTTCTGGAGGACATCTAGATACAAACCAAACCATAACATGGAATTTGGAGAGATTAGGGTGTAAATGAGCCCAGCTCTCTCCCTGATCTCTGCCCTGTTAGGGAGGCTTCCTTGTGGCTTCTCCAGAGGGGCGGCAGCGCATGGACCAGCTAGAGTCCAAGTGAGGCTGCACAGCTGAGAGCTGATCTGCTCCTCTTGTCAGAGCTGCCAGAGGGCAGCCGTAAAGCAGCTTCAGGGGTGATGAGGGGATGCTGAGGCAACAGCAAGTGTCTCTGTCCCTCCTCTGGGATAGAGGCAGAATGAAGGAATGTGAGAAAGGGAAGCATTGAGGAGAGGCAATAGCTGTCAGCCAAACTCTAGCCCCTGCTGCCATCACAGGGTAAGAAAAGCAGGGTGTCACTGGGGGAAAAGGGGGAGCAATGGATGTTTTCCCTCTGCCTCACCTTTGGTTCCCATGAAGATTAACTCTTCAATTCTCCCAACCTTCTTTCCCTCCACCTACTCTCACCAAATATTAGAGAATATCATTTTCCCTCAATTACTTCCATTATGAAAATGATATTTATTCTTACAGAACAATATACCTCCATTGATCAGTTATACAGGCCCTGAGGGAGTAAGCCCACCTGTCTCACCCACAAGCACATCTCACCCTCCTGGCCTGGTGTGATTCTCACCCAAGCTGAAGGAAGGCACGACCACCAAAGGCAGGTGACCTGCTTAGAAAGGATTCCTGCTGCTGGCTTTGCACATCAGCTGCACCAAGATGGCTTTCCAGCTGACCTTATGTTCCCCTTCATGGCAAATCCCTGACCTCCAGGCACAGGCCAGACTTCTCATTTTCCAGCCCCTCAGCTCCACTGACACTTATTGCTCCAAGAACACTCCAGCACCATATCAATCCTGCTCGGATGCCTACATGTTCTGTTTTCCCACTGTTAGGAGGCACGGATTCTTGGTGCTTGCAATGCTGTCCTTGCAACTTGTGCCCTGGCTCCCTGACCTTCCTTACCTACTCACAG